AGGTGGACAGCCATCTCATCTGGCCAAGGGTGGCAAGCCTCAATTACCTCCAGGGGCAAGGAAGGTAAGATCAATGAGTGAAATGGAATTGAGTCTAAAACACAGCAGGGAGCCATACATTTGTTCCCTGCTCTGAGTCTGTTTCTGTTTTGTAAATAAGTTCATTTGTGTCTTTTTAAAAATTCCACATGTCGGTGATTTCATATGGTATTTTTTTTCTGTTTCTGGCTTATTTCCCTTAGAATGAGAGTCTCCAGGTCCATCCATGTTGCTGCAAATGGAATTATTTTATTCTTTTCTATGGCCGAGTAGTATTCCATTGTATAAATATACCACAACTAGAAAACAAACTTATGGTTATCAAAGGGAAAAGGGGGTGGGAAGGGATAAATTGGGAGTGTGAGATCTGTAGATACTACTACATATAAAAGAGATAAACAACAAGTTTCTACTGTATAGCACAGAGAACTATATTCAATATCTTATAGTTACCTATAATGAAAAAGAATACGAAAATGAATATATGTGTATGTATGAATGAAACACTATGCTGTGCACCAGAAATTGACACAACATTGTAAACTGACTATACTTCAACTTAAAAAATTTTTAAAAAGATAAAAAACACAATAGGGAAAAGTGGGGTTTGAGCAAAACCAAAAAGTGCATGTTTCACTGAATGGGAGCAGTAGCATCTCCAGTCAATTGTTGAAATGCAGAATGGAGGATTCTGGGTGGGTGGGTGTGTGTGAGAGAGAGAGGAGAGAGAGACAGATGGAGAGAGAGAAAGAAAGCATAATCACCTCAATTAAATTTTTTAAAAAACACTCAACTTTAAGAAAATACTGAATGAGCAAACAATACCCATCCACCTACAAGTCATGGTTCACAGGCCACCAGTTTATAGCCCTGGCTTAAGCAGGTAACAGGGATCACATCTCATAGAGCAACCCACTGCATATAACAGCTTCTTTCATGTATTCATCTCTTTACAAATATCTTGGACTATTGGTCCCAACATTTTTTTAACTCATTCAAAAATTTTTATTAAGCATCTCCTATGCTTTAGGCATAGTGTTCTCAAGCAAGGGTTACAAGGAATCCCTGGGAATAAGTCAAGCTTTCCCACGGAGAGTTTACGGTGCCTATACCTGTCCTGAAAGGCTTCTCTTTCTAGAGATAATTCCTCTGTCCTGAAAGGCTTCTCTTTCTAGATCCAACAGTCCATCTTCTCCAGCCCTTCCTAAAACATCAGGGTTTCTGTTTGCATTTTTAGTTTGTTAATATCCTTCTTAAATGTGGCAAATTAGTGTAAAGTATTAGTTATGGAGGCCATTCTGAATGTGCTTTTTCACATTTCACTTTTCTTAAATACTTCGCTGAACATACGTAAATGCACTGCTATTCAGTATACCTACCGCCTTCTAGGGTTTCTCTGGATTTTGTGGTGAGCACCTATCTTCACTGGTGGGAACCCTGAGACATGAAGTGCCCCACTGACATCTCTGCATGCAGCAACCACCATGTATTTTCATATTCTTTATAATGTAATGGAACACAGGACGTGCACAGCCAGACTTATTTGCTTTCCTGTGCTTGTATTTCCAAAGGTCACAGATTTCATGCCGAAGTGCCACATGATATAAGCACTTGAGGAAAATAACATTAATTGCCTGAGACTCTAATTGGCTTTATGACAGTAGGCAGGCCAGTGGCTGGGAAAAGACACCCCCGAACAGCTGTCAAATACACAACCTGGCAGAAAGGCATCAAATGCCCAGAGTCCTTCCCGCCTGGAACTGGTATTCCAGGGGTCCACGCAGAACCAGAGATCGGAAAAATCTCCCTCCATGTGATGATTTTCAAATCTACCTGATTTAAAATGGTTTCCTTGGAGCATGCAAAACATGCTACATTTCAGTTCTGGCTGGCAGTAAGCTACACTTGGAGGAGTAAAACCCCACAAACCCACTCGTCGTTAGCTGAGTGTTTAGGAATGTACACAATGATTAGGCCACAATTACATTAATTCTCCACTCTGCTCGGCTCGGATTTTTGTAATTAGAGCTGATTTGGGGAGGGCCGAATGTAAATCAGCAACCTCGATCTGCCAAGAATAACACGCATTAACACTCATATGAGCATCCTCAAATGACTGTCCTGTTCCTCTTCCATCCGAACGTTCAGCAGAAATTAGGCATGAGCTCTGTCTCTTAATGGAGACTTTTACCTCTTGACTATATATGAGATAAGAAAGCACAGGCTTGTAAGAACTGTGAATGTTGGGGGTCAGTCATCCCCCCTCCAGGTTTGTGTAGCTAGAAGAAAAACCAGGTTGCGAACTGGGAGATCAGGATCTGAATCTTGACTCCTGTCGCTTAATATTAACAAAGTAATTGAACATCAAAGTAACTTCTGGGGAGATTCAAATACACATATAGAAGTAAACTGAAAAATATGATGCACTAGGCAAAAGTATTCAGCCACGGCCATTATCGCAGCTCTAGTTCCCAGAAACCCCTATTCTAAAATCTTAACAAATAGTTAACAACCGTCTCCCATCATGCTCTTAAACCAGAACTAGAGGATCAGTTATCCAAAGCCACTTCTATTTCAATTTCACTCTCCTTCACAGGTTGCTAGATTGAGCCCACAGAGATATTTTGACTCGCAATGTGTTGTTTGTTTTGTTTTTTAAATTGCCTTGCTTGTCAGCATTTTATATACGGGATTTTTCAGATTGATACTTTCATTTGGTATTTTCCTATGGAAGTTCAGTTTTCCTACTTCTGTTGGAGAATGGGAAGATTTGGCAGTACTGGCCTGGATTCCCTACAGCTACAAGCTGCTGGAGCTGAGCAGTGGCTGCCCAGAGAGGGTGTACTCTCCACTGCCCCCAGGTCCCCACCTGACCTGCCTCCCTCAATCACGTCTTCTATCTAAATCCCATAGACATTTGGATGTCAACTCCTACTTTTATTTTTATTTTCAGAGACAAATAGCTCTCTAAAATATTGAAAGAAATAGAAGCAAAAGATTAGAGACAAGCCTCGAGACTGAATAACCAACTAACTGGACATGAGTAAATATTAATAAATAAGAACAGAGATATTACACAGCTGCTCTGAGAAGCAATACAGCAACGTGGTGTTTGTTACAAGTCTGAATAAAACACAGAAGCAATGTCAAATTGTGGATCCTGCCTTTATTAGCTTAGGAGAGTTATTTAAGCTCTCTGGACCTCAGGTTCCTCATCTGGAATATGAGAGTAATAATGACTATTTCTAGAACTCATTTAAGTAACCAGGATTTACCAAGCACCCACTATGTTCCATGCAGTGCCAACTGGTGCCTGCTGAGGCCCTGCAAGCCCCATTCCTGGGCTCTCAGATGTCCACCTGCAATCCCTCAAAAAAACAAAGTACACCCTTTCCTAACGTGTCTGCCTTAGCAGATTAACAGCCCTGGGAAATGGCTAGTCTCACGTAGGTCAGGCTGACTTGTCTCAGCCCCTGTCTCCTCCTTATCGGAGTCATAAATTCCACTACCTTGCTTGTGTCAGCCCCTGTCTCCATCTTCCTGGAGTCGTAAATCCACTATCCCCCATATACCAAAGCCCTTATTACCTCATTTATAGCCAATCAGAAATCTGTTCCCCTGTCCCTTTGTGTACACAGCTCCTTCCTCAATAAAAGACCCTGCACCGTTCACACTCGGTGGACACGCAGGCACCTCTTGCCTGTGTGGCCCACTGTTGCCTGTAGCAGCATCCCTATGAAACCCTCCTTTGTTCTTAAATTTCTCTTGGTTTCTGGTAAATTCTTTTACCATCCGCGATGCCAGTCTGCCCTGTGTCCCCAACATTCCAGAGACTTGTGTAGGCACTGATGATGCAATAATAATCCAAACAAAGTCTGTACTCATGTGGTTTATATTAAATGAGTGAATCCATGTTAAGCACGTAGGACAATATCTGGCACACTAGGAACAAATACTCAGTATATGTTAGCTATTATTATCATTATTGTCACAATATGCCGTCTACTCAAAGTGATTCCTTAAATCAAGAATGGTAAATCCACTGAAACTTGTATTTTACTTCTGATAGTAGCTACTAGAAATACAGTGTTGCTAAGGATGAGTTTGAGGTCTTGTCCAGGCTCAGCAGAGAGGACAGATTGCATCTCTGATACAGGGTAGTGTGGTGTGTGTGGAAATTCGCCTGAAGGTTTTGCCACCGTGGTTTAAAGAATCCCTAATTCTTGTAAATTAGATTTCTATAAATGTAAATTTCTGCAAATCTCTGCCTTTCTTATCAGTGTTGACAGTCTTTCTGAGACTTCTTGTTCAAGGAGAGACAAAATTCAAGGAGAGACAAAATCCAAGGAAACTTCCCCAAGCTTTCTCTTTCCAGGGGGCAGCTCAGAAGGGCAAGGCCATGTTCTGCTGTTGCAGATGTGCTGAGAGCATGCAAAGCTCGAAGGGCTCCTAGCCTGTGATTAGGGAGGGTTTGAAGATATCTGTTCTAATAACCAGCTCTAACACTGAACCTCTCAGAGCTACAAACCCAACTCAAGGGGAGTAAAACATCTGCTCCGGGAGGATACATTTCTCTTCAGTGAAATATGTAAAAGGAAGGAAGGAAGGGAGGGAGGAAGGGAGGGAGGGAGGGAGAGAGAGAGAGAGAGAGAAAGAAAGAAAGGAAGAAAGGAAGAAAGGAAGAAAGAAAATAACATTCCAATCAGACCACAAAACCCAAGAGTTAGCCCCTAGCAGGCCTAGAGGCTGAACCCCTTTGTGGCAGCACCTCTGCCCGCACTGATGGCTCAGGTGTGACTCCCCTGTACATCTATTCTCGTGCAGTTCTGGACCAGGCAACAGTGAAAGGTCACCACAGGTTTCCTCCTTCCCAGACAAGTCCAAACGTTCACTCCTTGCAAACTCCTCAGGGCCAAAAAAGGAAATAAAACCTTTCCCAACAATATTAAATGTCAACATACTGTACTCCCTGGAAGCGCGCACCTGCCACCGCAGCCTGGGGCTTCTCTCCATCTTCTGTCCGAATCACATGTGGCAGCCAAACTCACAGGGATAAAGAATTCATAGCCACAGGCTGTTGATGGGAGAGGTCCCTGGGTAATGAAAGAAAGGGAGCATGTCTGGGCCTCCAGGTTAAAGGTGAACAAGCAAGACGCTGTCTGGTTATCAAGCAGACACATGCAATAATGTTAAGGGTGACTCTGCATAGCGACTCAGATGTGGTCTTTCAGATCACCTCACCTGGCACTGGGGAGCTGGGTGCTTGAAAATGATTCTTGCCAGGCTGCTCACTCGCACATCCATTATAGTTCCAGAGGATCCATACTGTCCCTGTCCAGGTAAAACAAAACCTGTGTTATGCCAAAGTAGGGATATTGGCCATGTTCTAACACAACTTTATAAAATAGGTGGTGGGCTGTCTTTGGCCTATGGGCCATAGTTTGTGTCCTGTGATCTAGCACAGTAAATCATGAATAAATCTGCATTAAGTATAAAATAAATATGTTCATCTTCTTGTTGCATCCCAACAAGGACTAAAGACAAGGGTAATGAATGGTGTTTAGACATCAGAATAGTAGGGAGGGGGCCAGGTACTAGAAGAGGGCCCGTGGCATTCCCAGGATTGGGGATATTCCATTTCTTGGTTTGGGGTTCTGGTTACACAGTGAATTACTTTGTAAATTTCATCGGGCCATGTGCTTAATTTGAGTACTTTTCTCCCTGCGTGTTACACTCTGAAAAAAGTTGACAATTTAAGAAATAAATTTATAAATAAAATGAACAAGGGCTAAAGAGTGAAAGTAAAGCATCCCTGCCCGATAGATTTGAGCTCCTGTAATAACAACTGACAAAGAAAAATGATACTCAACCAATTCTGAGTACAGACCTAGAGGATCAGCCATATTATCTACTGGAAAACACAAGCTACAGTGTGGCTGTTTGGTCTGCCAATTCCATACATAAAGTTTGTGTCCTGATTATGAAATGACCTTTGAAATCAAAGAGACCTGGATTTTTTAACCTCTCTGTTTTTTCATCCCTAAAATAATCATGTCTATCCCACAGCTCAGTTGTGAGGGTTAAACGAGAGGTGTATGAAATGCCTAGTTATTAGTTAGCGCCCATGGTTAGTACCCAGTGATGGTCAGCTAATATGCAAAAAGACCGAAGTGGAAAAAAGGTGTGCTGGGTCTCTTTCATCCCCCCTCTTCCACTCTCTATCCTTTTCTGCCCCCTTTCTGAGGTCACCCAGCCTGGGCCATGTTGACAGGCCTCCTTGCCTTTCCTGGCTTCCAGTGTGAGAGAGAGCCAGGTCAGGGCATCTGTTTCCCCAGGTCCTCCAAGCAGCATTACTCCACAAAATGGGTTAAAGTACCCCTTTCCCCACAGCTGCTTTGTCTTCAGGTCCCCAGAAATGCTCCTTCCCTTGCTTCTTCAGGCCAGTGGGCAGTAACTGCTCCCTGCTGATAATAACTCGGGGGTACTAGAGTATTTCAGTGGTTCCCCTGTACTGTGCCCACATCCTAGTCCTGTGTTTCCAGTACTCTGACTAATGCAACAACCAAACATCAGGAAAGTGAATTCAAATATGAGCAAGGCAGGAACATTTCTGAAAATAGTCAAATGTGCTTTCTTTTGGTGTACCTATGGGGCTTAGAGAAAGAAGGGCTATTTTTCTTGAGGTGCAGCACAGAAAGGTTATAAGGCTTTGTTGGCCCAAATCTTGGCTTTCTTGTTTCAGGAGTTCACTATGCCTGAGTGTGCTTTTCAGATGTGAAAACAGCAGTTACCGGCCCAACCTAACCTAGATGCACGATTTATTTGGGTGAGGATGCCCAGGTAGGTAGGCTGGTACTGGGAGCTGTAGGGCTTGTCCACAGTTGTGATGGTGGGGGTGCTGAGGGAGCCCAGGGGCTCACCACCACTCCCAAGAACAAGACTTCTGATGCAGTAGCTGTGGATGCCAAAGGCCTCAGACATCAGGCCCTGGGGGGTTTTAGAACCTTGGCACAGAGCTCACACCCCATGCCTATTGGGGAACAGACTGAGCTGCTCTGTTTAAATCCACACGTGGGCCTGGACAAGGAGTCCTAGAGCAGTGACCACAATGTGCTGACAATGAGAGGCCTTCCTAGTGAGAACTGCTGGGTCCGTGTAAGCCCTTAGGATTTCTCTATAATCTCAGGGGAGAGTAAAGCACCTTCTAAACCATAACTGGATACACACAGGCTCTACCTCAGTGATTCTGATTTGGTATGACTTGAACTGGGCCCCTTAAACTGCTTCTTTAGCATGTTCCCCATGGATGCCTATGTGAGCAGTCCACTGAGCACAGGACACTGCTATACTTTCCCCATTTATTTTACAAAAGAGAAAAATGGAGCCACTGAGAGCCTAGACTTCATCAGCTCAGGATGTTTGGGGTCTAGGCCAATATTGGTTAAGAAAAAAAATTCCTAAACAGACTGTACTCTCTTACGTATGTGAAGCACATTTATATTCACTTTAGAAGTGAATTCTTATTTCATTCTGGGGAATTCTGCCCAAATTCAAATGTTTGCAAAATTCCAAGAACTGAGCAATCTTCTATTTCTTCCTTCATGATAAAGTAAGCTGGACCCCTGTCACTAGCAAAAACCTTTCTCCAAATGCTTATTTGGTAAGACTGGTCTGGGACACTTAATCTATGAAGATGCTGAGCAAAACCAAGAAACACTTCCCAACTTGTTGTTAGGCACCAAGCTTAAAAAATCGAGTGAAACAATCAACATGGCCACTCACAAAGTCAGCAAAAAATGTTTGTATAATTACTCTTCATCATGGCGGTGCAGTCACAACATTAGTGTCAAATATATCCGGAGAGTAAATGCAAATTACAGGTACAAGTCAATTTACTTTATGCATTCAGCAGCAATTCCACTTGCCTCCACTTACATACTTAATAGCTGCTTGAGACTTATGGATAAATAGTTACTGGTCTTCAGAAAGATGCAAGCCTGCAAACTGAGATCCAAGATAAAACAACAATGACAAAATAGCACTATCACAACACCATGGGCATTCGGAAATGCCTGGAGAAGCATGAGATACAGATGCTTCAGCACTCCCTGGGGAAGAGGGGAAGCATCAGCTTAGTTATTCATTTACTCTTTTTACCTCTTTTGTGGCCAACAGTCTCCCTGCCAACAAACCCTGAACTTGTTGGAAGGGAAGATTTTGGAGAGGCCCCCAGATAAGGAATATGACTGGACTCCCATTCCAAACTGTAAGGGAAATGAATTCTCTTTCTTACATGAAATGTAAAGTGCCCTAGGGATTTTCTTTCTGATGCCCTGGAGAAAACAGAAACATTTTAAAGACCTGGAAATGCAAAGATCTTAGAATCAAGTAAAATGGCTCAGAAAATTGTGCAGGAGAGTGCCCTCCGGCGTGAACCTGTGTAATGTAGGTAACTTTCCCCACAAATTCACTTTTCAATTTTCTCTGACTTTTTGGATGCTTACTGACAGACGGAAGTAACAAGCTTTCTCTACTCTGCAAAATGCTTGTCTTAATTTTGACTACACTTTCCTTTGAACCTTTAATAAAAGTCACTGGTATTAATTCAGCCTTTCCATTCTTCTTTTCCATCACTCCCTTTGTCCCCCACTTGAACATATTTTTCAGTTTTCTTACAATACTTATCTTTAAGTATCATTATGGTACTAACAGTCTCATCAAGCAAAATGTCTGTGTGGGGGGAATTCTGGTTAACTGAGTGCCAATAAAGAAAATTAAGAAAATTTTCAGTCCTCATAGTATCATGTCATTTGCAAACAGTGACAGTTTTACTTCTTTTCTAGCGTGGATTTCTTTTATTTTATTTTATTTTTTTTCTTCTCTGATTGCTGTGGCTAGGACTTCCAAAACCATGTTGAATAAAAGTGGTGTGAATGGACACTCTTGTCTTGTTCCTGATCTTACAGGAAATGCTTTTAGCTTTCCACCATTGCATATGATATTAGCTGTGGGTTTGTCATTTATGGTCTTTATTATGTAAGACTGGATATATGAGTTTAAAAAGATACATGCACCCCAATGTTCACAGCAGCACTATTTACAATAGCCAAGGTATGGAAGCAACCAAAGTGTCCACTGGGGGATGAATGGATAAAGGGGTTTCTAACTCCTATCTTTTCATCTTTAATCTTTGAATTTCAAAATTTGTCTTTTGAAAGACAGAACTTCTCAGCTCCCAAGTGGACAGCTTTCAGATTTAAATTTGGAATCACTGCAAAGACATATTCAGTGGAAAAGGCATGTGACCCATATTTGATTCCTGGCTCTCCCCTATACTGCCTACTCATGAAAGATACTCAAATTTCTTAGCCTTTCTTTCTAAATCTGTAAGATGGGTATAACAATAATGCCTATTCACTAATATGGGTTCAAAGATTAAGTATGCATATATGAGAAAGCTGGTCAAACATAGATGTATATTCACTTCTTATTCATTATTATTAGGCCAAAGTTGTCTTCTAAAAATAAACATAGAAATCCACAATGATAACAGGAAACGTGGAATGCTTACAATGTATCAAGCATTCTACTAACCACTTTAAATATATGAACTTATTTGAACCTCACAGCAACCCTAATGCAGTATTTATTATATTCCCATCTTTCAGATAAGGAACCTGAGGTTTCAAAGAGAATAATAAACTTCTCCAAGGTCACATAATCAGTAAATGACATACCCAGGATTTAACCCAAGAATTAACTGTACTGGCTCTTAATTATCTTACTGTTATGTTCTCACCACATGACTGTGGTAAGTACTCTGTATTAGGGACATTAATAAGTGTTTTTTCACAAGTACAAAAAGGATCCATCACCAAATAAGCTTAGGAAACCTTAGGTTAAACAAAGTTAAATAGGGTTCTTTACTGTGTGACTCAGATCTTTTAACATCGACTGTGAATCTCTTAAGAATGAACTACGGCAGGCAGCATTTCCGAAGACCAAATAAAATCAACACTGTTTCCTCATGAGCGTCTCAAAGGACCAGTGTTCCACGGAACACATTTTGTCACATGCTGATGTACTATAAGGTGGGGTAAGTAAGTAGCAATAACATACCACTTGACGGCTCGCAAGACAATCCTTTGAAGTAAGGGAGACAAGTGTACACTAACTCCATTTATACATGAGCCCCATTTTATATTTGATCCAACACCTTAAATGGGTTACCCAAAGTAAAAAAGGTAAGTGTTGCAACTCTGTTTTAAAAATGGGCAAAACCTAAACAAGCAATTCCCCAAGGAAGAAATACAAATGATCAATGGGCACAT